TAGGAAGAATTCAGTTTGATGTGAAGACATTTACATGTAGGCATTCACAGACAAATGCCTAAACTCTATTTTTAGTTAGCAAATGCTAAGGAGCTCCTTGGGAAGAGTTCATTTGGACACCTGCCTGGGATTCAGATGCCTAAACATAGACAATCCATGGTTTTCGGGTGCTGTGGAGATCCCTGACCAGCCCCTAGCATATGCTCCAAGGAGTTCTCCTGGACCCCTCTGGTAATGTCCAATCTTGAGCAGACATTTAAAAAGCAACCTAAGAGATCTTCAGTATTTATATTCTCACATTCAAGGCTGCAGAACCCACTTTTAAAGCATCAGTGGAGGTTAACAATTACTGGAAAGAATTGTTAGTTGAATTCCAAATGAGAAGCAGAGCAGGGAAACACATTGAGAATCCACATAGCCTGTCCTCTTGACTAAGGCTCTGGAGAGAGACTTGGGAAATTCAAAAACAGCAGCACACTGAGCCAAAAGCTGCTGTTTGTAATGTGGGCATCATTATGTGACTTGATGTCATAAAATCCAGACAATAACCAATTTCTTAGTTCATGGGAGGAGCCTACAGAGGAGAAACACAAATACCTAAGACAATGCACTAAGGAGCCTCATGATATTGTCTAGAAACACTGAAGGAGATCCAAACTGTAAAAATGCAGAAGAGCAAATCTGGTGAATCATGCACTGCAGGACAGATACTCCATGGGAGAAAGGGAACAGAAAGGTAGCAAGGCTGAAAAAGATCTGAGCAGCATACCCAGGAAGAAGGGTCAGAACTGGGATTATGGTATTCAGTAACAACAGAAGAATAAGCCCAAACTAACAGCCAGTGCAAATTGCACTTTTATTGGGTGCTCCACTGTGTGCAGTCTGTAATTCAGAGTTTAGGAGCAGGAAGGCACCAGGGTCCCAGTGGGGATCCCATGGGTTTACCAAGTTCTCCTGGGAGATGGCAGGGGTTGGGCAGCACTTCCTGATGGCATATTCTTGAAAGCACACCCCAAACTGTGTCTACTGCCATGTGTCTACCTTCATGCCAGGATGAATTGGAAGGGATCCAGACAAAAGCAAGGCAAATGACAAAGAGCTGGAGGGAATGGCTTCAAAGGAAAGATTAAATGAGCTAAAACATGCATAGCATGGCTAAGGAACCACTGTAGGTCAGGAGACAGGGAATACAGTAACTATGAGCCATTCTTAGGCAGAGGTATAAATGAAAAGGTATGTCACTGACAGTAAATAGGCATGAGGAAGAATTTGTCATCTTATTAATATTCTTCAATTTTTGCTCTATACATGGTAGCTTTACCCTATCACCATGGAATGCCAGCAGAAGGAAAGACACAAGCACTGAAAAAAGCCCCTGTCTTACTAGTGTACTTTGAATTCCATTTTATAATTCATCTAATTCCCTCCTTTCTTACTGCTGGAGGCCAGGCTCATCATTATGCAGGACTAAGTTTTGGTTTCAGAGAGAACTGGTTCCTATTTCAACAAGGCACATTCAAAATACAAACATTATGAACATTTCCAGTACTGCTACAAGATTATTCCTTCTTCTATGCCTTGTTATTGCAGGACCACACCTTGGAATTCCTTGGGCTCATATAATTTCAATGAAATAATAAATTATATCACAATTTTTCATGAGAATTTTTCCTCCCATCTGTTTTTTGCTGTCATTGTTTTTGATTTTGTTTGGGTTTTTTTTGTTGGGTTTATTTCTGTTTTGTCTTTGGAGCACAGGCAGAGACACAGCACAGGTGAATCTGAAAACAGATTCACCCACGTCTCACCTCTCAGAAGGAGAATCCTGGTCCTGGCATCAGTTCCCTGTTTAGGTAGATTGTAGCCACTCAGGGAGGGCAGAGGCTGTAATGGTGCTTTCTAGCTATGGAATTTGTGCCTAGGACAATTCTTGCCATGTTATTCTCCCCTATGTCCAAATTCTAATTTTTCCACAGCTACCTTTGTAGGTAGTTTCTTCCTTGATTACTAATGATGGCAAGCTTTTCCCAGTAAGAATTTTTCCCTAGTAAATCTTTTGAGGGTGTCACTCCCATTATACCTTTTCTTCCTTCTCACTCATTACTCACTGGGGTAGTGTATTCTGCTCCTTTTGTGTTAGTTTTAACATCAGAAGGTCAGAACCTTGGCTGCTTATAACCATACAAGTGAATATTTAACTCTGGGAAAGGTTTTCTTGGATCATGGAAGACTGATATTCTTCTAGGCAGTAAAATTACCCCCAGTGATATGAAAGAGAAAGACACTTGTTTTGTTAAGAAGTCTTTTAAAAGTATGAGTTAAGAGCATCTCATCCTTTATGTTCAGCAGCCATTTGACCAAGAACTGAAAGAACTGAAAGAAATCACAGAAGTTACAGCTGTGCAAAGCTCACACACTGGGAGTTGCTTTGTCTGCTCTATGCTCTACTCTTTACATTGATGCAAGAGCTCCCTACACTATCATTTGCTTTCTTTTTTAGGTCGTAAACTCATTTCCATTCATAATACAAAAAAAGAGTAATACAAACCAAGGCATGCAAAACTACATTTTAAACCAATATAAGCCTGTGGAATTTACAAGTTAGATATGTTTGAACATCTTTCACTAGAGTTAGCAGGTTGAGCAGTATGAGAAAATTCATGGGAATCTATGGATTTTTATGAATTTCCCCATATAAAATTGTTTTTGAGTAAGCTCATTTAAGGGAGTGAAATGGTGCATTTTGGCAAAGAGCCTCTGTATGATACATATTTATACTTCTTTGCAATATCATCCATACATTGCAACCAAAATTATATCTCACATTGCACTATTTGATATTGTCAAAAAATGAGAATTTCTGGGGATTTGATTTTATTTTATTTAGAAGTGAAAATAGATGGAATTCTATTTTTTTTACAGGACTTGTTAATACCTTTTTTTCCCCTTCTTGTTGCTTTCCTGGTGAGCAAGCAATCGAATTTTAAAAGGATAATCTTTTCGCAACCTTTGGCTATAGTTAACAATGCTACGTAGAGACAGCAGTTTGAAAAGTTACAGTATAATTGATGCAGCATGAAGTGAATCAAGAGGGCAAAGTTGATATGCAGATATTAACATAATCCACTCCACACATTCCAGAAGAGTTCACATTCTTTCACAGCATGTAATTTCCTTATTAAAAATACTTCTACCTTTACAGTACAGTCCTTTCTTGGATGCACAAATGACAGCCTTTACATCCTGAAAGACACTCTGTAGTCTTCCCTGCTGTCATAGCCTGGACATTTGGAACAGAAAAATGCCTAAGTTTGGGGGTTCTTTTTGCACAAGGAGCAGTCAGCCAACAGCAGCCTCCTCCATGCAGCTGTTTCTGCATACATACAGAGCCAAAGGCATGAATAAACCTTTTAGCTCCCTAATAACATGCAAACATGCTCAAATCAGTTCTGCATTAGATTACTGATCCTCATTTATGTTACTGCCTGGAAACATATGAGAGTGGCTCAGAGGAGATGCTTCTTAAGTTTACTTAATTGTTTGAATAAGCAGACATAAAAGGGAAAGGGCAAATGAGTTTGTTCTCTGAAGGGATGAATGCACTGCTAGCTTTCCAGTGGGGCACATTGTTTTCTCTCCACTGCAGACACACTTGTGAAATTACAAAATTCCAGAATAAAGTCAAATGTTTAGAAACCACCTAATTTGGGCTCATGATTAAGCTTTCAGGTGCCTGTTATTAGTACAGCCATTTTCCAAATCTGACCATGCACTTGTGAGTCTTGAAATACCTCATTTTCCCATGCTCCACACAGAACCAAGTAGTCACATATGTGATATCTCACTTTCAAAAAGCACACAGCAAGTTTCTTCAGCTGCTTCAAATAGTCTCTGCATTCAGCATGGGCACCAGTGTGTGAAGTGGAAGGGACAGAGGGATATGAAAAGGAGTAAAGGAGTCAAGTTGATGGGGTTCCTCTCTCAGCATCTCTGCTGGATTCCTACCTGGAGATTACACAATCAGAAAGCTCAGCAGCACTTCCCCATATCTCCAGCTGTACTCACATGGCACATAGGTCCTGCAGTTGGATGTGGTTATTTGCCAGCTAGACATGTCAGAGGAGATCCTACAGGATCTTCCTAACAGCTGTTTTTCAGAAATGGAGCCAGTGTTAATAACAGAAACAGGCAGAGCAGCGGCTGCTCGGCACATCGGAAATGAGGCCACTTGCATTTAAGAGCTTATAAATGGATTCAGTTTTCTAATTTCAGGACCTACATTTGCAGGAAAAATATCCTAATTCATCATACGGTTTTCATTTTTAACCTCTCTGTAGATGTGCAGATCTTTAATTTTCAGTTCTGTGCATTATAATCTCTCTAAGTATAAACCAGTCAAATGGTCTTCCTATATATAAATTTAGTATTCTGTGATCAATGTATCTTTCATATGCATGAAAGAACAACCCCACATGCTACTGCAGACTCCCACATTTCCGTGTTCTTTTATTCAGCTGTATTGGATTTTCTTTTTTTTTGAGCAGTCATACTCCTTTGACAGTACATAGCTGTCATGGTTCTGTCTCACAGGTTTCTATACATCAGAGACCAGCTTTAAAACTATTTTGACAGGTTAAAAGCTGGGATTTTTCCAGGGACAGGATGGAGAGAAGCAGGAATGAGAGAAGTGAAAAACAGTATTCCTTGACACCCCCTAATCTCCTCAGTGCAGATGGCACTGTCATTTTCAAGTAGCTTCTGTGCACAACAGCTATTGCAAAAGAGTGAAAGTTGGAATGCTGAAAATAGTCTTTTTGGGAGAGGAATATACATATCTGTATGTTCATCTATCCAATACGCCCAGCTGTGAATGCATGAGCAGACAAATGAGCAAAGCTTACCTTCCCACTTCCTCCCCTTGTCCATTCACTAAAATTAATTGTTCCCCAAGATGCTGTAGGCCACATTGTTAATTATTGTCTCTCTCTTCTGCACCTGAGGCATCACACTGGTTTAGAAAACAGCCTGCAAACAGATGGAGAGCTGCTGGAGATGAATCTGAAGGTACGTGGAAAAAAAAAAAGGATACAGACTTTATGATACTGCAGGCTCAGATGGTCTATTAATTTTCAATAATATTCTGGAAAGGAAGGAGGTCTCTACATGTTTTTAGGCTTAATTTGTTTTCAAAAAAGGAGTTACAAGAGCCAATTGCTTTTATGATTTCATCACAATCACTTACGTTTAAAGAATATTTATGGGAAAATATTCCAATCACTCCTGCACCAGCCTTGCTGTTTCTTAGACAACCCTTCTCCCCACAGGCAGCTGTACATGCACCCTGCCTGACAGGACCAAGGCTGGCTGTCTTGCAGACCAGACAGAAATGCCAGCTTGAACTGGATGCTGCATGCAGCCTCTTGCCTGCTGCCTTAATGCCCCTGGCTCGTCCCCAACACCAGCCCTAACAACCTGATTCTGCCACCACGTTGCCACAGAAAGCCACAGCAGCCTGGGGCAAAGCTGTCCCTTACATGCCCAGCCTGCCTCCAGCCCACTTGCATGAGGCAATGTCCTGATGCAATCCCAAAAAAAATGCTTCTCTGTTTGATCTACTCTGACAATTAACAAAAAGCCACTGCAGTTGTTGACATTGTCTGGTTTTTCATCTTCCCAGGCTGAGGATCAAAGTTGGTACCACCATAACAAGGAGGCAGGGACGCCTCTAATGGTGCTCAAAGCTGTCCTGTCCTACTGAGGGCACTGCAAAGGCACACAAAGCACAGGCATCCAAACCTACCTGATGTGCACCATGCCAGCTTCAAAACAGGTAAAAGGGTTTCCCTTTCATAAGTATTTCAATGTGATCATTTTCTGTGTAAAAGTACCCAAGAGATATATTCAAAAACCGTAAGCCCTTCTAATAGAGCTATCTTACTCTCTTCAAAGGGAAAACTATTGCTGCACATAAGGAACAGTTGCAATTTCTAAATGGGGAAAAAAGCCTTTCAGACTTGGCTGTAAGTTCAGCTCTGCACATTAGCCAAATTACTTCAGAAAGGCAGTGGGAAAGTTATTAATAGATTTATCAAATTACTATCCAAAGGAATCCAGATATTTTAGCCAAGAAGCAAGAAAAAGCAAGTTAATTATACCACAACCAGACCTCTGATCCATATAGGAGCAAGGAAGAAAAGGTTATACCTAAAATGCAGTGGCCACCCTTCCTTTTCCAGTGTTGGCAATGTGCATATTTTGTGGAGCAGAGTCTACTTGGCAGAGATTGGTACACAATTTGTTGTGTGTTGTACACAGTGTGTCAGGCTGTTATATGAATGTGTAAAGGAACTCTGGAACTTAAGTATGGTATAATTTCCTTCAGTACCCAAATTCTGCATTTGTATTGTACAAGTATTTTGCAATTGAGCAGAGATTGTCAACTGCCAGCACTTCATGAAATTCTTGGTATAGAAACAACTAAATGCATAATGCATTGTATATGCTCCTATACATTTAGTTTAGATAACTAAATCTACTGTCTCTCACTCTTTTAAAAAGCTCATAAAATATAATAAATATATCACAAGAATCAGTCTGTATCACTATCACCTGCACAGGTATACACAGTATATTGTTGCATGACCTTGGGAATCCTAGTCAAGGATTCTTAGTCTGCCTTTTCTCCTGTTCTGCAACATGTGCAAAATGTGAACATTTAAAGTCAGTAGGGCTGAATATGTCTCTAGCTCCCTCTCTCTTTGCAGATGCAGTATCAAGACCTCAGGCACTCCACCTGTCCCATGGGTAAGAGGTGGAGGTAAAAGTGGTTTCTGCTAAACCATCTTCCCCGTCGGTGCTGCAGAGGATGAGATGGGTAACTGGCCAGTGGTGGTGCTTAGCCAGAGTACTGCAGACTTCCCAAAAGCAGTGCTGCAAATAATACCAGCATTTGATCTGGAAAGGACAATCTATTCCAACACCATTTTAGATTCCTTTCTTTCTTCAGTGAACACTTTGTTTTATTTTGGACAACAGTTCTTTGGTAAAATGCAATTGTCTTTAATGAATTGCTTTTCTGAGCTGTCACTGTCATTGTACTGAAAATTCAGGGTGATTTATTTGACCTGTAGCAGAGGTGCAAGACAAATCTTTAGCTCTTCTCCATTCTAAGAGGAGTGTTTGCTCTGATAGGATCAGTTCACTGATGGGGGTTTTGGGCTATGGATAGGTACAAAAGAAAGATGCCAGTATTTGGGTATCTGTCAGACACTAAGGTTTGTAGGCTGGGCTGAGAACAAACTTGTCCAATGGTGGTGATACATCACAGGTTCTTCTCTGGCTCTCATAGGCCCAAGGACACTTCTTTCATTTCTGCCTTTTATGAGGCAAAATGAGAAAATATCTATGAAATCAATTCACACTCTCAAAATGGTGCTTTAGTCATGGGTCACACAAATAGCCACATCTGCAAAGCGGTACATTTGCTGATTGCTAAATTCTCACCTCCAAGAACCTGGGCTAAATTTTAAAGTTTAAACACTTAAGTTTTAAATTTAAACACCTTGGTACATGGAAAAAGGTTGCAATTGCACACCTAAATGCCTGGTATTGCAATGAACATGTGAGTAAATGAAGGCTTTTTCCTCTGGAAAAAGAAAAAGGTTGTGGCTGAAGATTCTGGTCTGTTCTGTATCATTTGTATCCTCTACTGCTGTTCCAAGATATTTCTATCTTTCAGAACCACAAGATATTTCTGGGAAGAATTATATCTCAGCCAGACTTTATCTGTTAACTTTTAACTCATTCTTTGTACAAAAACATTCTACATCCCAACAAAATAAGATTTTGCCTCTAGCATCAATTATCATTCATCTGGCTTTTGAAGAAGGTGACAGGTTTGCATTGTCCTTGCTCTCCTTTTTCATGCATCTTGAAAGATATTTGCCTTTTTTTCACCTCATGGCACCTCAACATCCTCCTCACTTCTCAAAGATATCTGCTAACAACTCTTTCAGACATGCTCAACCCACTTTTAAAAATTCAGCAATGACACCCATACGTGCAACCTGATTTAAAATTGTCTTAGCCAGTTCCTGACCCTTTATGCTGCTAAGTAAGGTTAAAATTTACCCACAGACTACTTCTGTATGCATGTAAGGCCTGGTGCAGTTTCATAAATAAAATATGGTAAGCAGTCTTCTTTTTCTGATGATTATCAATAATAAGGCTTCAGCTAAAGTGCTGGTATTTACAAAATCTTGGGAGTTGTCAATAGACATCACAGAAATGTTGTATGCCTCAAATGGATCATTTAGGACACCCTTCTGTACAAGCCTGCCAGTGACTCCAGTGACCTTGCTGAGCTCACTGAGAATGATCAGCCCAATGCAGAAAGGACAAAATAGAAAGCAAAAGCAGAATTAAAACAAACAAACAAACAAGTTGTCTGTCATAGTAATTAGCAAAGCAATCTTTTGGGGGATGATGTCAGAACAGGCTGGCATCTGCTCCTAGGAGGGGAAAAAACAAAGTGAATAGCAGACAGGAGTGAAATGTTTCAGCAGAGAGGGAAGACTTGCTCCAAACTTCAAACAGGAGACATTGCTAAAAAGAAAGGAGAAAGGAAGAGCATGAGAAAAGCCTATGAGGAATGAAAAAAAGCTAACATAAAGGAAAAGGAAAGCAAGCAGGAAGGATAAAGAGAGCTGCATGAAGTAGTTCTACCAGGGGACCATGTCAAAAGCCAAAACCAGTGCAGCATTACTATGGCACTTTAGTGGAGGAGAGAAATCCAACCCAATGATAGCCAGGAGAGGACCAAGAGGTATATAAACCCACATTGAATGGAGGCGCCATGAGTAAAACTGCAAGGAAAAGAAAAAAATTTGCACTGTCTCATACATTCTCTCATAAAATCTGAACTTTCCCCAAATCAACACAGCCAAAATAACTAAACTATTTGCAGTACTTACATGTAGTGCCTGCACCTGTCAATAAGAGTGATTATTAATTTTCTGTGCATAGGTCATGTAAAAAGTCACGTAGTTTGTCTGTGATTTAGTTTGCCATCTGTAAAGCTGCCACCTCTACTTCATTAAAGGCAAAGAGGCAAAAAATTGACACGGAAGAATATAAATAAAGAAGGACAAAGCAGATGATTTAATGGCAACATCAGGCTCAGGTCCAGATTAAAATAGAAAGCATATAAAACAGTGAAGCAGTAAACTGATATATTTTATGATAAAAGCATAAGCATCTTCCAAAATATATCTGAAAAGGGAACATGGCAATTCAAAGTATCAGTATGAAATTAAATTCCTCTCTTTTCTGTTGGCATTCACAAGCTCTGCTTCCCTCTTGCCTCCCTTCTAGTAAGACTTTTCCCCTTCTTTACTCTTCCTAATTGTCAAGGTTTAAAGGACACTGAAGAGCACAGGATGGGTTCATTAGAATTGCAAAGCATCACCGCATCCCATTTGCAGCAGGGCACCATTTATCTCTGTTGCCACACCATACTGTGAGGTGGCACCAAAAACCAGGCGCTGCAGTCCAGAGCTAGGGAATGCTAATCATCCTACATCAGACCCAAACCATGCAGGATTCAAGGTTAACTGTGCTTGAGAACATCTGTTCAAGGCAATAAATGATTCCCGAAGGCAATCAGGAGTGGGCTTTAGATTTTTGACATGACCAGCTTCTTTCTGTTGGCCTGGAAGACCTGGTCAAATTCTTGGCCATTTGTTTCCATTTCTTGTGTCTACTAATTCTGTCCCCTTTCTTCAATGGAGGGCACAACTACCTCTACTCAGACCCTTTGAAGGCCACCAGGTTGTCAGCCATGGTAAAAATGAACACAACCATGTCTTTCTTGGTTTGGTTGCATCAAAGTAACAATATAAATTACACCTCCTGCACAGACCTCAGCACAGCATCTATGTGTAAATACCATCCTGTAGTTTAGCTAAAGGAATCTGTCCAGCCAGTTGCCCAGGTTCATCCTGTCCAGGCTGATACCTAAGTTTAGCCTACCTCAGAAATTCTACCTTTCCCCAAAATTTACTTTAAAAATATTCCTCTTTTAATGTTTTCATATTAAATGCCACACATGTGTCCTGTCTTACAGCAAAAAAAGGCAGAACTGGAAAAGGTACTCAGTCAGCACTACATTGTGGTGCTAAAGCACAACTAAGAAGTAACTATGAGGTTGCCAGATCAGAGACTGCACATTAAGTTACTTTGCATTTGGTCTAAATCTGTAGTCTTGCTCCTATTGAAGTCAACAGCAAGCCTGCAGTTAATTGCAGCAATAGTAAGATGTATTTTAGGGAGCCACCATGAAGAGGTAGGCTGGATTATCTAATGACATATACGTATTTTACTAAATGTGTTACTTGTCAAGCTAATTAGTTACCCTGTAAATGAAAAGGTCAACCCTGCATAACATTTGCATCTCATCTTTCTGAGTCAAATTTCCTGTGCATGGTAGGTGGAAAGAAATAAATTCTACTGAAGTTGTGAACGGCTGATAGGAGGAACAATTTGGCAGGCAGAGAAAAATTTGAAAAAATCTGTTCAAAGCTGATCTGAAGCTAAGAACATGGAACATGTCCATCAGGAAGACACCAATCCTATGGCCACCAGCTCCATATTGTACAATTTGTTTCAAATAGCTCTGCAGCCAAGCAATACATTGAAACTGTCAGTCACACTTTACACTTTTTCCACTGCTTCTGCTGCTCCTTACTAAGCCACATATGCAAGTCAAAGAGAGACAAGACTCATGAAATCATTGTACTGCACCAAGGTGCTACTTTTGACCCCAAATTGCCACCCTGTGGAGAAGAGTTACCTGACAAGCCACACTATTGTGTGCACACTCCACTGTGTGCATATTTCCCCCTATTTCTACAGCTGGAGGACAAATCTGTCACAATATTCTACACCTGCAACTCACTAATTTTGAAGCTCTCAGGGCTTTGCACATCTATAGCAGCCCCTTTCTTTTCCAACACCTTTGTCATTTACATATATCTGAAGTATGAATACTTCAGATGGCACAATAACAAATGCTTGAGAGATACTGACAAAGCCATCAGCAAGAAGTTAAAGAAACAGAATCAGAAGCCTTCTTGGGAAATATCAAACCAAAACAAACAGAATGTTTCAGGGCAGTGAGCAGATTAACCAGGAACTTTGGATATTTTTTTCTTTTTCAGAGAAACAGCCAGCTTTGTGTTTCAGTCTGTAAACATCCTATGCCAGAAAAGGATCTTCAGAGACTCTTTGTCCTTGCTAAAGGGCTTTACTTAATGGGGTGTTACATGAAAAAGCATATCTGTCTTTCAGGAAAATGTGCCCTGCGGGCTCACTGAAACACTGGCAATATCTAGAGGAAAAAGAAAACCAGGATATGAAATATGTCCTGGCTACTGTAGGTTTAAATACATATTAAGTTGCTCTGCCAGGACTGAAAACTCTGGTGTCATAAATTTCCAGCAACCTGTGTGCATTAAGTAGGTGTCAGGGGACCCTGCTCCCTTCAACAGGAGTCACATCTTCCAAGCAGCGAATCTCGCTGTCAAAGGCTTGAGTCTTGCTTGCAGAACCTGCCCCAGCCAGCTCTGAGCTCACTCTCCAGACTGCAGCACTTCCACTGTGACTGACACATGAGCTGGGAATTTAAAGCCCTCACACCTATATTGCAAATGGTTACATCATTCTTCAAATGACAGGTCCTTTGAAATACCTGAATTATGTCGGACTATTTCCTTTGTGACTTCTTGATAAGAACTTTGCACCCCACTTAGCTGGCCTATA